AAAACAACGCCAAGCTATGTCAAAAGAAGCGTCAAAGGAGCCGCCTGTCTGTGTAGTATGGTAATTATTTATTTGTTTTTAGTTGAGTACCCAGTAATTTTATAATGTTTTCTCAATAAAATAATGTATGCTGCGGTATGCTGGAAACACCTGCGGAAATTTCGAGTGGTTTACGGCACCTCGTCAGCTCGTGTAAAGTTACGCAAAGGTTTACGTAAATTTTAGCTTGATGAATCGCACCTAAAACGGCCTCGCTTGCGTACGCGAAATCGTACGAAAATTTACTAAATAGCTGTGTTGATGAATTGCAACTAAGTAACGTCGATTGCGTACACAAGATTTACGCAAAATATTTTGCGTACGCAGCTTGATGAATTATGAATCTACCCCATGGACCCCACCCGTCAGTGCAAGCGCACACGGTATCAGATTCTACAGTTCCCAGGGGCGTGTACAGGGGGGTCCAGGGGGTCCGGACCACCCCTACTCGCGCAGAAAACGCATCTGAGGGGGTCTAATTTAAAAAATTTCCCCCAGGCTCTCCCCCAGACCCCCCCTTCGCGTGTTCCTGTAAACGCTCCTGGTTTCGCCCCCCCTAAGAAAATACCCTGGCGCCGCCCCTGGGCATATATACAGATACAGCTTCAGTTAAGTAATAAGGTCAATGTGATATATATATACATATAAGTACATAGTAGTATAGAGTAGTTAGTAGGAGCGGCAACAATTAAGGTAATAAAGGAGGACATCTGGAGTTTAACAGCAATTAACTTTTTGGAGACGACAGTCTGATGTCATTAGTTCTCTTTATTGGCATTCTGATTAATGCACATTGTAGGATGATTAATGCACAAGGGAGATCTGGATCGCACCGGAGCCAGAGAAGTCAACCGATTAATAAAAGCTAGCTAGATGTGCATGGTGCCTGCGATTTGGCGAGAGCAGGCTGTGCCAACGCAGAGGTCGAAGATGGAAAGCCTCCTCTATAAATAAGAGGGATGATCAGGAGAGACGGGGAGGGGAGGGTATAGAGATAGAAGAACGGAGAGTATACGCTCTCGGCATCCACAACCTGCGCGTTGCGTTTATGTCTGTTGTAACCTGTTGTAGAATAAACCTATCTTTTATACTCTACGTCTTTGATCATTGCTGACGTGCACCACACACACAGCGCAGAACCAATACTATAGACGAGGCTTCAAACGTCTCGGGTTAAGCGTCTATACGAGGTCTTAACTCGGGTTAAGCCTTAGCCCGGGTTACGTCGCGCAATGAAGGTGGTTAAGCTAACCCGGGTTAAGACTCGTGTAGATGCGCGCGAAATCTTTAAGGGGTTAGCTTAACTCGGGTTAAGGTGACACCATGTAGACGAGGCTCGTGTTTACGAGGCTAATGATACAGCTCAATGAGCTAGATATACAAGGAGATGAAAAAACGCATGTGTGACGCCAATTTTGGATCAGAGTTTAATTGGGTCCAAGAAGATTCAAATTCAAATTCAAATTCAGAAATATTTATTTTCGCTGAAGATATGTACATGCAGACGACAACATTAGAATAAACATTCAATAGAAAGACTGTGGTCGACGGCGAATAGACTGTGCAGTTACCAAGTCAGCCGCGCCTGTATTAAATAATTAAAACGTTAGCAATATATAGATCACACTTAAGATTGATCAACTTGAACCTTAAAAATCCTTTTACTACATTTTTAATTCACATTTCAAATTTATGTGTACAACATAAAACTGGTCTTAGAAACCATTTACACAACAAATCATTATTTGAACTTATTCACAATCGATTAATTACTTTTCAATTCATTACGAACATTTCGCGTGCGAGTGAATGCGTGCGCGTGTTTGGGGACGGGGGAGTTGATGTGTAGATGTATGCGCGCGCGTATTTGGGGACGCGCGGGGGAGTTGATGTGTATATATGTGTATATATGTGTATATATGTGTATATATGTGTGCGTGCGCCGGGTGTTTGGGGACGGGGGGTGTGGGTGTAGATGTATGCCGTGTCGCGTTGTTTGGGGGACGGGGGAGTTTATTGTGTAGATTGTCATGCTGTGCGCGCTAAAGCCGACAGGGCGGCAGCGTGTTTCAGGACGGGGCAGTTTATGTGTAGATGTATTTGCGTGCGCTTGTTTTGGGGACGGGGGAGTTTATGTGTGATGTATGCGTGTAGTGTTTGAGGACGCGTGCGCGATTGAGGGACGGGGGAGCTTGAATGTGTAGATGTATTGCGTCGCTGCGTGTTTGCGGGACATGGGGTTTATGTGTAGATGTATGCGTGCGCGTGTTTTGAGGACGGGGGGAGTTTATGTGTAGATGTATGGCGTGCGCGTGTTGGAGGACGGCGGCGAGCTTTATGGTAGATGTGATGCGTGCGGTGGTTTGGGGACGGCTGGAGTTTATGTGTAGATGTATGCGTGCGCGGTTTGAGGACGGGGAGTTTATGTGTAGAATGTATGCCGTGCGCGTGTTTGGCAGACGGGGAGGAGGTTGATGTGTAGATGTATGCGTGCGCGGTGTCTGCGGGGGACGCGAGAGTTTTATGTGTAGATTGTATGCGTGCGCGGTGTTTGAGGACGGGGGAGTTTTTATGTGTAGATGTAATTGCGTGCGCGTGCTTGGGGACGGGGGCGGAGTATGCTGTAGCATGTATGCGTGGCGTCGTTTAGGACGGGGGGAGTTGATGTCGTAGATGTATGCGTGCGCTGGCGCCGCGCACCGCCGTGGTTTTAGGACGGGGAGTTATATGTTGCAGTATGTATCGTTTGCGCTCGCGGCGTTGTTTGAGGCACGGCGGGAGTGTTTATGTGCTAGATGTAATGCGTGCGCGTGTCTTGGGGGACGGGGAGTTTTATGTTAGATTGTATGCGTGCGGCGTGTTTGAGGCGCGGGGTGGTTTACTGTCGTAGATGTATGCCGGTGCGCGTGTTTGAGTGCGCGGGGAGTTTATTGTGTTTAGATGTGTATGCGTGCGGCGTGTTTTGCGGGACGGTGGGGGAGGTTTATGTGTAGATGTATGCGTGCGCCGTGTTTGGGGCGGCGGGCAGTTGATTGCTGTAGTATGAATGCGGTGCGCGTGTTTGAGGACGGGGGAGTTTATGTGAGATGTGTTCTTGCCCGACTGCGCGTGTTGAGGACGGGGCGAAGTTGATGGTGTAGCATATATGCGTGTGCCGCATGAGGACGGTGGCGAGTTGATGGTGTAGATGTCATGCGTTGTGCCGTGTTTGGGGACGGCTAGCTACGGGAGTTCGATGTGTAGTTATGACGAGCGTTGCGCGTGTTTCTGCAGACGGGGGAGTTTAATGTGTAGATGTCCGTGCGTGCGCGTGTTTGAGAGCGGGGGGGAGTTTATGTGTAGATGTATGCGTGGCGCGTGTTTGGGGACCGGGGGAGTTTATGTGTAGATATATGGCGTCGCGCGCATTGCAGGACGGGGCGAGTTGATGGTGTTAGATGTTATTGCTGTGCGCGTGCTTTGGGGACGGGGAGTTTATGTGTAGATGTATGCGTGTGCCGTGTTTGAGTGCGGGGGGCCAGGGAGTTTATGTGTAGATGCTATTGCGTTCCGCGCGTGCTTTGAGTGCGGGGAGTTTATTGTGTAGCATGGTATGCGTGCGCGTGTTTGGGACGGGCGGAGTTGATGTGCTAGATATCATGCCGTGCGCGCATTTGAGCCGACGGGGAGTTTATGTGTAGATGTATGCGTTGCGCCGTGTTTGGGGACGGGCGGAGTTTATGTGTAGCATGTATCGCGTCGTGTCCACTCCCCTCAGTGTTTGAGTGGCGGGCGGAGTTTTATGTGCTTAGATGTATGCTGTGCCGCCGTGGTTTGAGTGCGGCGCGGGAGTTTATGCTGTAGATGTTGATGCGTGCTGCGTGTTCGAGGACGGGGAGGTTTATGTGTTAGAGGTATGGTGTGCGTGTTTGAGTGCGGGCAGGAGTTTATGTGTAGGAGGTATGCTGCGCGTGTTGAGTGCGGGGGAGTTTATGTGTAGATGTAATGCGTGCGCCGGTTTGGAGTGCGGGGAGTTTATGTGTAATGATGTTATGGCGTCGGCGCGTGTTTGAGTGCGGGCGGATTTATCGTGTAGATGTATGCGTGCGCGTTGTTTGAGGACGGGGGAGTTTATGTGGTAGATGTATGCGTGCGCGTGCTCTGAGTGCGGTAAGAGAGCTTATGTAAGAGTAT